TTCTTTGTCAGCAGAGGGCAGGAAGGACGGCACTAATGTCAGAGGAATCTTGCTTTCACCATCAGTCTTACATCCCCCCCATCCAAGAGGGCCGTCCATTCTGCCTCGCTCTTTGCCCAGGGACCTTGCCGAGAGAAATAATCCACGATAGCATTTCTAACCAATGGTTAGATGGGGGCTTCCACTCTTCAGCTTTAAAGGGGTTGCACCCTTGAGTGTTCCAGAGACCCGGCCAGTCCAGTGTAAAGTCCGAGTTCAATAATTTTCCTGTCTCCCCTTCCAGTAAGGGGACTGTGTCTTCATCCCGGTCATCTGTCCAGACCTGGTCTCGTGAGGGGGAATCCTCCGGCCATAGTCTTCCAAGGGACCCCTCCACTGTAGCTCCATCATCCGCCATTTTAATCTTTCTCTCCTCTCCCTTTCCACTTTTTCCTTCTCTTCCCTTAACTTCCTCCTCCACTCTTTTGTCTCTCGTTCCCCCCCAATAAGAAACTTAGTGAAATAGATGATTGGGAGGAAAATGCAAGAAATATGGGCTAGAGAAAAATCTGCCAATGGAGAGAAGTTCATGCTTTATGGAGAGGGAAAAGCCTGCTTGCATAATAGCAGATGAATGAATGCTCAATCCATGCTCTATCCACAAGGGATTTCCTCTGCACAAACCTATACCCTAGGCGCGGTGTATTTCCTCACCATCTAGCAAACAATGTGCTCAGGACTGCGAGGGTTCAGGCTCTGTTTTTTTCTTCAAATAAATTGACAGACTTCTTCGGCTTAGAAATCGGTGTAACATTTATTGGATTGTTTAACAAATAACCTGTGTCAACAAAGGTATTCCAATCATTTCCTCCTTCTAACCAATGGTTAGATGGGGGCTTCCACTCTTCAGCTTTAAAGGGGTTGCACCCTTGAGTGTTCCAGAGACCCGGCCAGTCCAGTGTAAAGTCCGAGTTCAATAATTTTCCTGTCTCCCCTTCCAGTAAGGGGACTGTGTCTTCATCCCGGTCATCTGTCCAGACCTGGTCTCGTGAGGGGGAATCCTCCGGCCATAGTCTTCCAAGGGACCCCTCCACTGTAGCTCCATCATCCGCCATTTTAATCTTTCTCTCCTCTCCCTTTCCACTTTTTCCTTCTCTTCCCTTAACTTCCTCCTCCACTCTTTTGTCTCTCGTTCCCCCCCAATAAGAAACTTAGTGAAATAGATGATAGGGAGGAAAAGGCAAGAAATATGGGCTAGAGAAAAATCTGCCGATGGAAAGAAGTTCATGCTTTATGGAGAGGCAAAAGCCTGCTTGCATAATAGCAGATGAATGAATGCTCAATCCATGCTCTATCCACAAGGGATTTCCTCTGCACAAACCTATACCCTAGGCGCGGTGTATTTCCTCATCATCAAGATGCTGCTGCTCTCATGCTGCTTTAGACTGTGGTGACAGCTTGTAAGACAGCACTCTGCTGTCTGTTCATAATCCTACTGGACATCGTAATTTTGCTGAAAATCATCTCAATCCATACAGGAAGCAATTGATGCAAAGCTGCTGCTCTTTTGCCAAGCAGAAGTAAGGGAAACATGCCACACTTTTGGTAGCTTCTGAAGGAGTTCGTCTGTGCAACTCTCCCCCCCCCCAGCATCCATGAGCAGAAAAGTCATGAAATAGACATCTTCAAATCTAGTTTTAGAAGCGGTGACATGCCATTTTGCAAAGATATTTCACAATTTTGTATGCAAAGATCTTGGCTCCCTATTGTATTGTGTTCCCTTGTCTTTTTTTCTTGCAGGTCATTATCCTTACTGGCTGTTCTGTTATCTATTTACAAGCACACACAACCTGCCAGACACCCATAAAAGTTGGTAGTAAACATCTAGTGTGCACTCTGCCTAAAATGCAGAGCACTACCGGATTGTACTTCCTAGTGCTAATTAAAGCTTCAAATTACATCGTCATCTAATTGTCTCCTAACATCTGCGTGTCTGGCTTCAGTCTTTGAACTAGCCATAAATCTAACACCTAGAACAGCCCGACATCTTGGGATTTTTGCCATTTGTGCTGCGCCTTTCCCGGGAGAAGATCTGCCCAGATGCTAAACTTGCTCCCTCCTCCTAACCACAGGCATTAATTTTATTCATGACAAGAACACAGTGAGACCTACCTCAGGACTATCCACTCTTATTTGCTACTGATGTTTAGGGTTCCTTAACTCTAAAACCCTAGATGGTTTAGGACCTCAATATCTGGCAGGTCGACTTCTCCCACCCAGATCTGCCAGAGTCACTCGTTCCAGCCAGGCTGGGCAGCTGAGGGGCCTGACGCCGAGGGAGGTCCGGAGGGAAAGAATGAGCAACAGGGCCTTCTTGGCGGTGGCCCCTCGCCTTTCGAACAACGTGCCAGTGGAGATCCGCCTGGCTCCCTCTCTGGATGTTTTCAGGAATAAACTTAAAACCTGGCTATTTGGGCAGGCTTTCCCTCCTGCCGTATCTTAATTTCTTATACTTTCGCCACCTTGGATCTATATATTTTTGGTTTTATTGTTTTTAAATTTGCAAACTGCCCACAGTAGACCTTTGGTCTAGATCGGCGGGACAGAAGTCCAATAAATAAATCAATAAAATAGAATGAGCCACAAATAAGTGGTATGACTGTGTTTCAATGATGACTGAGCATGCTCAGAGGCCACAGAATGTTGACTGCCTTCTGGGGAAGGAATGGAAAACTATGGAGGGAGAATAGAATGAACAAAAGGGAGACTTCAATAGCAATTAGTTACAATCAGTAACTGTAACCAGTTACTTTGGAACTCTGCTTTTAATGCATTGAATTTAATAAGATCCTGATGGTCAGGCTGCTGGCCTTTTAATTTTTATATTACAGGAACACATATTCTTTAGCAAAACACACACACACACACACACACACACAGAGAGAGAGAGAGAGAGAGAGAGAGAGAGAGAGAGAGAGAGAGCGGGCGGCAGCCTGACCATCAGGAGCTCTGTAGAGTTATGGAAGAATCCTGCATTAAACTCTGGACAGTCGCTGCGGAATAATAACTACATCCAGCTGACTGGATAGCCCTGTGGTTTGTATATCTAGCTGAGGAGCCAGAGATTAGGAATTTGATTCCCCACTGTGCCTCCAGGGAGAAGAGCCAGCGTGTGTGGCCTTGGGCAAGCTGCACAATCCCAGGGCTCCCCCAGAAGAAGGGAATGGTGAACCGCTTCTGAGTACTGTACTCTCTACTAGTATCTGGAATACCCTGAAAAGGGTCACCCTAAGTCAGAACTGACTTGACAGCACATGATTATTATATAACTGATCCTGATGGTCAGGCTGCTGGCCTGCTAATTTTTATATTAGAAGAGCACATATGCTTTAGCCAAAACCCCATAGTGGGCTAGCAGCCTGACCATTAGGATCTCCAAGGAAGGAAAGTAAATATGGGAGGAATCAAGTTATGTGTAGGTGCATTTATGTGAGTATATGTACACGAGTAAAATATTCACTATTTCTATTTATATACATTTACCTGTGCTTGCACAAGTGTGGCATAAGTATACTTATGTGAGTATACTTACATGAGTAAAATATTCACTACTTCTATTTATATATTTACCTGTGCTTGCACAAGTGTGGCATATTTGTATCAGTGGAAGAATACAACAGCACATATTTGAGTATAGGTGTGTTGTTTACAGCTAACTGGATTGAAGAGATGTTTTCCATCTTTCTAATGTTTCTCTCCACTGCTAATTATGATGTGTCCCCTTTTGTGACGTGCATTACGGCATTTATACTCTTAAACCTGGCCGTCAACCTTAAGACAACTTGCAACACAGAACTAACAATAAAACCCAGATGAAGAATTTTCAAAAATGCAAATTCTTAAGGCAATGGTAAAAATTGAGCATTGATACGGGGAAAAAAAGTTGAAGAAATACAACAAATTATTCATTGAAGATTTTTGCAAATTGATTTAGCTTAATTTGGTGCTCAAAGGTCAAGGTGAGCTCTAGCTGAACATTTCTAGGAATGTGTTTTAGGAAAACGTGTTTTCTCTGGTTTTTGCTCACTTTGTTTTCTGAAGATAAAAGTGCCCATCAAAGGGCTTGAATAGATTTAAAACAAAGATACAAGCTTAATTTTTAAGGGGTGAGAAATCCGGGCCACTGCCAACCTGCAATAGTTTTGATGCCAATTTCTTGCAAATGGAGCAGCGAGGGTAGGAGCAATAACGTTTCAAGCCTGAGGGAGGGCCAGCTGCCAGGCTTTTCCGCCCCATCCTTTACAGAAAACCACCGCATGGAAAATACTATGCAACCTTTGACGGACTCCCCATCTTTTTATATCTTATATAGGATTATTTTGCGTCACGTTACTGTTGTAGCGATAGGGTTTGCACAAAGTACTGTTTGTATCTTTGTTATGATGTCTAATAAATGATAGGTATTTCTCCTTTTTTCTTTTCTTTGCTATTCCATCTTGGTAATCCTCTCTTTAAATTAATTGTTTTAAATTGAAATTGTAATTGTAATTTTATGATTTTATATATTTTTATACTGTTCTGTTTTATTTTGTAAGCCGCCCTGAGTAGACATGGTCTAGAGGGGTGGGGTAAAAATCAAATAAATATAAATAAATAAATAAATATGCCATTAACACCCGTGTAAAATCAAATTATAATTTTAAAACGATGGCATTTTTGTCTGTGCTCCCTTAAGGAATCTGGGGACTTGCAGCCTGGCAAGAACGACAAGGCTTCTCTCACAAAAACCTTTGGCCCGGTCTCCAAAACTACACTTCCCATGATTCCCCCAGATCGATTTACACCTCTGAACTTAGTAAACAGCGAGGAGGTTTCCCCCTCCGAGAAGCGCGAAAAGGCCCTCTCTCGCTTTCAAGGCGGGAGAGCAAAGTGGGCGGAGCTAAGAGCAGGAAGTGGGCGGGGGCTCGTGGCTCCGCCTCGCCGCCGGCTGTTTTGTTAGTAGGCGGATCTGGGAGAATCCACTAGTGGGAGCAGAAGGAGGGGTTTTTTTTCCCCATCAAAACACCACCTCATGTTTATTCTTCCAGAAAGCGGCGAGGTTACGCCTGTTAACTTCCGCTAGTGCGGTGAGCTGCGAAACAAAGAAAAACAAGCGTCTGGCAGTTCTCTCTCTGTGTTTTTTAAAAAGAGGCTGCCTCACCGTCCCCCCTCCGCCGTGTGGAGAAAAAAAAGTGGGCCGCTCCGCAGCGCGCGCTGGCTCCCGCGTCCGCCGGGGAGGGGCGGGAGTCGCGTAAACGGAGACCCTCGGGGGGGGGCGGTTTTGGAGGGCCAGCGGAGCCCCTCGCTCGCTCGCTCCCTTTCTTTCTCTGCCTGGCCCCTGGCGCTGAGGCGGCCGCCCCTGCCGGGCTCCCACTCCCCCCTTGTTCCTCTCCCAGCTCGGCGGTCCCCTCACTCACTCACCCACCCGCCATGGCGAAGGAGGAGGACAAGGAAGAGGACGGGGAGCTGAAGGTCCCTGAGGAGATGTTCAGAGAGGTCAAGTTCTTCGTGGTGGGAGACATTGACCCCAAGGTACCTGAGGGGGAACCGGGGAACCGGCCGGCCGGGCTCCTTCCCTCCCTCCTTCCTTCCCTCCCCGCCCGCCACCATCTTGTTCCCTGCCTTTCCCTCACAGGACCGACGCCACCCCGGCCGAAGAGGGCAAATGACAGTTTCTCTCTTCCCCCCCAACCCACAACCCCTCTCTAGACCCGGCTGGGCGCCCAAGAGCGCGTGTGGGGCGGAAAAAGTCCCCCGGGGCCCGTCCGCCGAAGGGGAAGCGGCCGAGGCCTCCCTTTCGGAGGGGTCCCCGGGGTTGGATCTTCTTTCTTTCTCTCTCTCCTCCCGCGCTTCCTCCGAGGGCAGCCCTGGCCTGGCCGTGTGGAGGAAAGGAAGCTCCCCTCGCCTCTTTCTCGGCTCCTTCCCTTCGCACACGTGTCGTCGGATCCGCTCCCCTGGCTCCGGTTTCTGGGCTGTCCCCCTCCCCCCCACTTGCTGTGCCTCCTGAAGGGACCCGGCCTCGAGCGAGTACTGTAGGCCTCTGGCCTCCGTCGCTCCTTCTTTTCCCTCTTCCCTTTCTGTTGGGCCCTTTTTCAAGGGGTCGAGTTCCCCAAATCTGAATGCGGGTATTGAGAAGGCGAGAGGTTGTGAGGGAGGGCCTGGTTGTTTTTGTTGTTGTTTTGTTTCCTTCCTTTTCTCCCCCCCCCAAAAAAAAATCAAGGCTTCTGCCTCTTCACTGGGGGCAGATGGAGGGATGAACCCTTTCTCTAGGCAAAAAGGTCACTGTCAACCCTTCCCTTCCAGAGGGTGGTTTTGTGCAGGATGGAATAGATCCCTGTCATGGAGGGGGTGGTCCTGGGCCCTTTTTTTCAAGGGGCCGAGTTCCCCAAATCTGGATGCGGGTATTGAGAAGGCGAGAGGTGGTGAGGGAGGGCCTGGTTGTTTTTATTGTTTTGTTTCTTTCCTTTTCTTTCCCCTCAAACATCAAGGCTTCCGCCTCTTCACTGGGGGCAGATGGAGGGATGAACCCTTTCTCTAGGCAAGAAGGTCACTATCAACCCTTCCCTTCCGGAGGGTGGTTTTGTGCTGGATGGAATAGTTCCCTGTCACGGAGGGGTGGTCATTAAGATAGGCACCCTCCCTCCTGGAGAGAGAGGGAGGTGGGGTAAACAAACAAAAGATGGGTAAAGAAACAAAAAACAAACCACACACCTTTCCTCTTGGTTCTGATCTTCTTGTAAGCTGGGCATAATTCTATCCAGAGTGATTTTCTCGTAACTCACATGGATCTCCATCACAGGCTTTTGGGTGTTGAGAGTACTTCTTATTTTGTGGGCTGATCGCCTCTGGTGGTTCACCATCCAACTATAAACCCTTCGTCTTTATCCAGTACTTGACTGCCAAGTCAGTCACTTCTCCTGAAATCCAACAGCTTAAATCCAACATATTCTTGCCTGCTCTTTGGATATTTCTCATTTTTAGAATCTTTTGACTCTCCTCCACCCATGCCAGAGGTTTTAGTCTACAACCTCTTTCAGCTTCATGCCGCATAATCATTAATAAAGGATTGTGGCGATAAATAGTGGGCCAATGACTCCCCAAAGCTCTGCGTCCACACTTCCCCTTTGATAGGAGCTGCATTTATCCTACTTGACTGCCAAGTCAGTCACTTCTCCTGAAATCCAACAGCTTAAATCCAACATATTCTTGCCTGCTCTTTGGATATTTCTCATTTTTAGAATCTTTTGACTCTCCTCCACCCATGCCAGAGGTTTTGGTCTACAACCTCCTTCAGCTTTCTTTCGCAAAATCATTAATAAAGGATTGTGGCCATAAATAGTGGGCCAAAGACTCCCCAAAGCTCTGTGTCCACACTTCCCCTTTGATAGGAGCTGCATTTATCCTGCTCTTGCCACCCTTTGCTGTCTGACAGATGAATGTTCCTTAATTTCTGCAGCTGCCCCAAACACTTCTTTTTCTCCAAATCTCTCCTGGTAAAGTTGTTGACAAAAGTTACAGAAACCCATACCTAAACCAAAGTACACCTACTTCTGTTTTCATTCTCTTTCTATATTCTCATGCTTTAATATCAAGATTTTAAGTGCATCACTGCAGTGATTTTTCACCCATCATAAAGTGCTGTGTGTATGGTCTGTGCTGTAAAAACCATATGCCAGTAAGTACAAATGTGCTCTACAAAGGTTTCCATATTGCTCCTGTTAATATTGCGACCCATCCAAGGATTGTTTAAGGAGCAAGCATAAAATGGAACTAGATCTATCAGTACTGTTGCATTCTTTGCTCTCTGCTGGATGTGAGCTGATTTTTAAGGATTTCATATCCAAAACCTTGAACAGTAGATCGGGGCTAGAGTTTATTGACAAGTAACTCTCATTGTATGCATTTTAAATGACACCCCAAAATAATTCCCTTTAATCTTTTTACTGTGAATTTGCTGTACCAACTTTCTGTGATTGATGGTCAAACTTCATATTTGACTTACTTCTGTGGTTGATGGTCAAACTTCATATTTGACTTACTGGTTTTTAGAGTATAAAATGCTTAAAGAATTGTTTCCATTTTATGCACATTGGAACTGAAATACAGAGCTGGGTGCCTAGGTCGGATGGGTGTCTATCTGCACAAACTTGCGTCTTCCTTTTCAGTTTGTGAATTCATGAGATCAGAAGTTTTTCCTTTTTAAAACTAGCTGCAGTTTAGTACTACAACTAAATGACTAATTTCAGTTGGCTTTCATGATGCTTTAACCTAGTGAGGACTATAAATCATGGTTTTAAGTTGGTTTGCTTAGCCAAACTTTATTTAAAATTAATCATTTGTTTCTGATTAAGACATAACATAGCAAACTTCAGTTAGTTGAAAATAGAAATATGTTAGTTCAATTAGTTAACACACGTAGTGAGGTTTAAAAAAACTTTTCACCCTGTTCTTACTATGGGAACTATGTTAGTTCAGTTAGTTAACATCACATCTACATCTACATGTAGTGAGGTTAAAAAAAACTTTTCACCCTGTTCTTACTATGGGATATAAAGTTGCGCCCCTTGATGAATTGTGTTCATCTGTCTCCTACTTACTGACTGATCTTTTTGGCCTGTGTAAAGTTCTGCAATACATGGTTGCAAAAAAAATGTTGAATATTATAGGAACAAGATCAAGGTGAGTAGCTCAGCTTTAGTACTACAGATGTCTTTTGCCATAGTTTTGTTTTTTAGCTGTCAGTAACTGAACTACTGTACCTCAGTTCTGCTTGAGTAGATACTTTCTCTGTGGAGAGTGTCTTAGCACCATTATTTCTCTCAAACAGAAAAGAATGAAAGATGACTTATTTTTTTTTTTAGGTTATTCAGCTTCTAGAAGATGGCAAGGCAAAGGAGGTTTCTTATAATGCTCTGGCATCGCACATAATTTCAGAAGATGGGGACAATCCAGAAGTTGGTGAATCTCGTGAAGTGTTTGATCTTCCAGTTGTAAAAGTGAGTACTGATACCATTGCCATTTGTTTGCTTTTCCACGAGAACAAACTTAATTAGAGTATGGCCTTCAGGATTAACCATATCTGATTATTTCCCCTTAAATACAGAAAAGTAATGTGCATGTGTAGATGTGCAATAAAAACACTGTAACTACTACCTTAGGTATATGTGCAGAGGTTGTTGGAAGTGTGAGTGTACTGGATTCAATTTCATCTCTCCAAAAACCTGGATCATTGTTACTTGATGGAGCCAACTATTTAGCTGGCAAGAAAGGGTATAGAAATCTTCCATGTTTTGTGATTAAACATCAAAAAGAGAATAATGGTTAACTTAAATCTGGTGTGAATTTGATAACTATAAGCAAAATTATTATTAAGATGTGGAGTCTGTCAATAGGTACTCACTAGATGCCTTTTAAAAAAACTTGTTTTTTAGCCTTCTTGGGTGACTTTATCAGTTCGATGTGGAGCTCTTCTGCCGTATCCTTTTCAGTTAAAATGTGAACTGTGTTACCTTTTTCTTATTTCATGTTTTTATTATAAGGTTTATATTGGCTTTGACAGCAGCTGCTTACATTCTCTAATATTTATGATTTTTAACATTTTGTTTCTGATTTCTTGGTCCTTCCCTGGAATTCCACCTTTCTGTCATATAAGAACGGTTAAGCTTATGGGAAGGACCAAGTCATCTGGTGTTGGTGCTCTCTGTAGATGTGATGACAGATTCCCCTATTCCAGCTAAGGGACTCCAGGAGTTGTATAGCTCATCTGTAGGGAAACTGAGAAGGCTTGTGTGGATGAGGAGTCATTTAAACTACTGCTCAGCTGCATCATTTAGTTCACTGGTTCCCAACCTTGGGTCCCCAGATGTTCTTGGACTAAAACTCCCAGTAGCCTTCATATCCAGCTGTGCTGGCCAGGATTTCTGGGAATTCTAGTTCAAGAACATCTGGAGACCTGAGGTTGGGAATCATGGATTTAGACAATTATCTACTGCATCTAATGGCTTAACGGCAGAGGTGGGACTAAGCTTGATATGCCTGTCTGTTAATTGCACAATTCAATCACATTTACTTGTGTATTGTCCAGCTTTTAGAAGGATGAGCAAATTAACAAAAATATGCTTGGATAATTAAGAATTGTAAAAATAAAGTTCCTTTAACACATTTCAGAGTTTCATTTCTATTGCCTCCTTGACTTCATTTTCTCAGAGTGAATGGTTTCTCCCCAGAATCTTGTCAGATTTTTTTTGGAGTTGCTGCTTGTTTATCTCAGGTAAGATGTTAAGTCAGAAGGCTAAATGATATGAAGTTACTTATTTCCAAATGTCTGATACTAAAGGACTTCACATTTTCTGATAGGTTTCCTCGGAGGACCGGAGTACGCTGTGGGCTTTGATTACATTTTATGGTGGAGATTGCAGGCTCAGTCTCAATAAAAAATGTACACATTTGATTGTGCCAGAACCGAAAGGGGTAAGAGCTTGATTACCTTTCAGTGCTCATATTTCAGATTAGCGTTAGTTGGGAATGATATAGGAGACATACTTTCATGAAGTTGTTGACTAAATCAAAATTTCTGAGGAAATTTAGCAGTCACATTTGCAAAGTAGAGTCATCCCCCCACACCCCCGGATTTCCTGATAGGCTGGAAACAGGACAGAGAACAGCAAGAAATAGTTTTTGTAATTGAGGAAGGCTACGTGAGTTCTCCAAAGAAATCATTTTAAACAAACAATCAATTTTGTTTAATTTTATAAATTATCTGGGTTTAGGGTGAACACTGGGTTAGTCAAATTTGTTCTGAATATTAAGATCAGTAAAACTAAGTCTGAGTGGTATATTGCATCTCATGATGGGCAACCAAGGCAGCTTCGTTTTTGGCTCTGTTTTTTGTTGTTGTTTTGCTTTGTCTCTAGCTTACACTTGCCAAACAAACAAAAAAGATTTATTTTTCACAAGTACTAATGAGCTGTGATACTAGAATTTAACTAGGAGGGTTAAAACCTCTGATAAGGCTACCTTTTCACTGTCAGTCTTCAATAGTTTTCTGCAATCGCCAAAGATTTATTTATTTTTTATCCTGCTTTTGTCCCTTAGTGGTATACAAAAATATTTGAAATCTACAAATAATAAATACAGAAAAATTAAAATTTGATATGATAATATAATTTATTTTAAAAAATTATTTAAAAACTGTGAATCAGGTTTTAGAAGACATACCCTTCTCAAACGCCTACTGTTTTCCTAGAAGCCTTTCTGAAGAGGCAGTTTTTCAGTCACTGATGAAAGGAAGGAAGGGACCAGCCACACCTCCTAAAGCAAGGCGGTCCATAATCTAGCAACAGCCACAGGGAAAAAAACTCACCTAAGTCCTCATCAGATGTGTTTGTGAAAGTGGCAGCTCCTCTTAGAATCTTAATGCTTGTGGGCAGTTTCTCAGATAGCCTGGACCTGAGGTATAAAGGCCTTTTAAGAGTCACAGGGAGTACTTTGTACTCAGCCTTCTATCCTTATGAGGTCGGTAAAATGAGTACCCAGCTCGCTTGGGGGGGCAATGTGTAGCCTGCCTAATTAACTTGTAAACTGCCCAGAGAGTGCTTGAAGTGCTATGGGGCAGTATATAAGCAGCACACTAAGGTATGGAAGTATACAATGGTTGATGCTAATGACAGCTGCTGAGAGGTCCAGAACAAACAGGGTCATACTCCCCCATTTAATTCCTGGCATAGATTGTCCACCAAGGTGACCAAAGCAGTTTCTGAATTATTTTTTCATTCCTGTATAAAGAGTACCTATGAATGCACTAGGAATTTAGATGACAATTAAGAGAACTACTGCTAATAATTCTAAAATTGTTTTAGTAGCAGTTTAAGAAGTTAACAAATGAATAAGTTGTTTTTGGTTTGTAGTATAAAAACTAGGAGTATAACTGAGCTTGTGTAAATCAGTGTTAAGTATCTTGTTACCTAAAAATGATATTTTATCAAATATATGATTGGAATTCAAACTTTCTTTTTTCCCCAGGAAAAATACGAATGTGCTTGTAAGAGAGAAAAGATAAAAATTGTGACGCCTGATTGGATTCTGGATTCTATATCTGATAAAACTAGAAAAGATGAGATTTCCTATCATCCTAGATTAATTGTATATGAGGAAGAAGAGGAGGAGGAGGAGGAAGAGGACAATGAAGAACAGGATTCACAAAATGATGTTAGCACGGATGAAAAGTTGTCAAGTCCACCATCTTCACGAGAAGGATCACCATTAGGTGATCAAGCCTTTTCACCTAAATCCGTCACTGTGGACAAAACAAAAGGAGAACTGATGTTTGATGATTCCTCAGACTCTTCTCCTGAAAAGCATGAAAGAAATTTGAACTGGACCCCTGCTGAAGTTCCCCAGGCTGCTACGGCAAAGCATAGATTGCCATCTGGCAAGGATTCAGGATTGATCAATTTGTGTGCCAATGTCCCTCCTGTTCCAGGCAATATTTTATCGCCTGACAGCAGAAGTAATATAATGACTTCAGTACAGAATCCCCAAAGTTCTGGACATCCTGAAATGATGGCATCGTGGAGCCCTGCAGTACGGACACTAAGAAATATTACTAATAATGCTGATATTCAGCAGGTTAGCAGGCCATCAAATGTAGCACATGTAAGTATACCAAAGTAGTTAATCTTCTCTTGAAAGTGGGTTATATGAATCCTTTAAAATAGCAGGCCCCAAACTTTTTGGGGCCGCAGACTGGCTGGGGGAGCGAGCTCCATGCACGGAGGGGGGGAATCCTACGCTTGCGCAATGGCAGACCCCCTGCAGGCACGACACGCCCACCGCGAGTGCAACATGCCCCCCCCATGAGTACCACCGCCATGCATGTGAGCGCGATGCCCCTGCGCAAGCGTGACACACCCACTGTCGGAGTGATACACCCACTGCGCAAGCGTGACACCACCCCCACGTGTGTGCGGGGGGTGGTGGAGATCCATATCCGCGGCCAAGTTTTGGCAAGCCCACGGACCGGCACTGGCCTGCAGACTGGGGGATGACGACCCCTGCTTTAAAACATAAATTGCATAATGTATTTGAGAACTATACCTTGCTACTACTACCTGTTTCAATAGGATTTATAACATAAAAAGGTCCAAATGAAGTGGAAGTTGATAAAAATGTGTTTGGATTAATTATTACTAATACTTAAAAATTAAACACTGTTCTGTAGAAGTTAATTTATATTTATTTATTCAACTTTTATGCCGCCCATCTGGCTGCAAGGCCACTCTGGGCAGTTTACAACACAACTGTTGTAATGAAGAGTAAGTATGTGATACATTTGCAGTTTTAAACTAATCTTGTCTGTTTTTAAAATTTAAAAGAGTCTTATACAAGTTTTTGTTGTGTAGTACCAGTTGAAACCGCAATGGATGTTGCAATATAGAGCTGACTGCTGTCCCAGTGGGTAGTTATGTCCACCTTTTTTCTGTTCTCCCCAACTTCAGCAATGGTCACTAAGCTGCGAGTCAGTAATCTGCCAATATTCCCCTCTTCTCCATGGATTACATCATTTTGATAATATATAGGCCAATTCCTATTAACCTTTTCCGTGTCAGCAACAACCCTGCTACACTTTTGGTGATGAAAGGCACCAGCTGCATGAAGGAATATTCACCTCCCCCTTGCACAAGCATAAACTCCATTCACCCATCTTCTGAATTTTGGAAATAGACAAAATTAATTAAAGAAGGAATGATTTATCACTGTATATTGTTTTCTTGAATATAATATATATTATACTGGTAGTTAGCATTTAAAGGTAATGTATTGTTGCATTTTAAAAATTAAGAACCCACACTTCCCGTTGCATTACAGAATGCTGTACTGCCGTTGCATTAGTTCATTGTGAAAACTATTAGCAATTGGATTCGGGAAAGTGGTGCAGAAAATAACTACACCTGTTTTATCTCTGATTGCACTTTTGCTTACTCATGAATGGAACATTTAGCAATAACCCTCCCACCCCCAACTAAACTAAACACTATAAAATGCTTCATGCTCACACACTCCTACTTCTTGTTTAACTAGCTAATGTTCTAAAATCTGCTTTGAGAGAGAATGAACTTTCTTTCCCTTGCCCCCATAATATAGTATTTTAGGGCAATATTCCTGTTCAGTATTGATAAATGTGGAACTCCAGTTGCAGAGATTGACATGGCAATCTGACAAGGTGCTGTTTATGTTTCTTTGGGCCTGTGGCACACAATTGTAAATACTGTATAGAAGAGGGTATTGGCTCTAGTTGAAATACAGTGGTGCCTCGATATACAAACATCCCGACATATGACAATTAGGAGTTACGACCAGCTCCGGCCACAAAATTTTGCTTCAACTTGCAACCGGAGCTTCAAGTTACAATTTAAAAAAGGTAGGGAATTCAAATTGCTATCTGTTTGGTGGTGAAGAGGCTGCTTCTTTGTAGCTCTTTTGCCCTAGCGGTTAGAGAGTGTGTGATTGGAAGAGGCTTCGGACTGCCTGGTAAGATAAGGTTCTGCTTTTTAAAAACTGTTCTGGGTGGGTTTTGCAGCATGGTTTTGGGCTGGGTGGTGGGATTATGTTTCTATGCTGTGATGGGTCTTGTAGGCTTGGTTTTTTGGCGTGTTTTTTATCCCATTTCTGATGGGTCTTGCAGGATTTGTTTGCTTTTTGGTCCCCCCCATTTCTGATGGGTCTTGCAGGGTTTATTTGCTTTTTGCTTTGCTTTTTTTGCATTTCCGAAGGGTCTTGCATGGGTTTTTTTGCTTTTCTTTCATTTTTTTTCCTTTGGCTGGAACAAATTCATTGTGTTTCTGAGGGGTGTTGCACGCTTAGTTTGCTTTTTACTATCCTTTTTCTGCATTTCTAAAGGGTCTTGCATGCTTAGTTTGCTTTTTCTCCCCTTTGGGTGGAATGGATTAATCGAATTTCCAATGGGTCTTGCACTGGTTTTTTGTGGGGTTTTTTGGTGATTTTTTTTTCTTTGGCCAGAACGGATCAATTGCATTTCAATGCATTCCTATGGGAAATGGTGCTTCAAGTTACAACCGGAGTTCTGGAACCAATTAAGTTTGTAAGTCGAGGCACCACTGTATAACCCAAATTGGATAGAACCAGAAGTTTTTCACATTTGATTTATGGTTTTAAAATGTCCAAGAAAACCTCCCTGACAAGCATTCCTTTTGTCCTCCAGATCCTGCAGTCACTTTCAGCACCCACAAAATCTTTGGAGCAGCAGGTAAATCACAGCCAACAGCAGGGACATTCAAATGCTGTCTTGCTTAGCCAAGTTAAATTGGCTCCAGAAACACACTTGCTACAACAACAACAACAGCTGCAACAGCAGCACCAGCCTCAACAGCCACAACAGCAGCAGCAGCCACAGCAGCAGCATCGTCCTCTTCTGCATCTTCAGCCCCAGCATTTGCAGTTGCAGCCACAGCAGCCACAGCCACCTCCGCAGTATTTGGAGATTACGCAGCAGCCTTTCTCACAGCAGCCTCATCAGTTTCCGCAACAGCAACAAGTTCATCCCCACCAGTTTCCCCAGCAACATTTGCAATTTCCTCCCCAACAGATACATTCCCAACAGCAAATGCATCGCCCACAGCAGCAGTTGCAGTTTCAGCAGCAACATGCCTTGCAGCAGCAGTTGCATCAGCTGCAGCAGCAGCAGTTGCATCAGCAACAGCTGCAACTGCAGCAACAAAACCTTCAGCAGCAACTGCAGCAACAGCAGCAGTTGCAACAGCAGCAGCAACTGCAGCAGCAGCATTTACAACGAATTCAGCAGCAACAACAAATGCAGAATCAAGCATCACAGCATTTAACTCAGACGCTGCAGCATCAAGTTCCAGTTCAGCCACCGCAGCATTCGCAGCATCCGCAGCAGCAACTTCAGCCTCATCAGTTGTTTGGACACGATCCATCTGTAGAAGGTTAAGAATTACTGACACACTTTAGTCTTAATTGCAGAGGACGAGGTTATTTGAAATCAGTTTTTAGATTTAAAATACCTTTTTTTTTACCTGGTTGATCTGAATTATTGCAGTGTGCTCTATGTAGGACTTCTGTTGAAGGGTATTTGGAAACTAATTGTCTGGATTTCAGCATATATATATAATGAGAACTAGCAAGATGGTTCTACAGTGACCATAACAGGGTTTTCAGTGGGTCTGGTGTGTTCAAGGAGTGTTTGCCATTATTCCTTGAGTCTCCATGGCCCAGCAGGGATTTGAACCCTGGCCTCCTGAATTTTAATTCACAACACCGGCCCATTCACTACACTAAGAGGATGATTTTAGGTACGGCTTAATTGTGCGCATGATTTTAAGATGTCTTAGCCCATGCTGTTAGAGTTTCAAAAGTCAAACGTAGCACTTTGAATCAAACTGAAATATTTAGTTGTCGGAACTAAATGTTTTTTTAAGAGGTTTATGTTAATTAATTAAATGTCATTTATTTGGAGTATTTACATTTAAAAAATATATTCTATGAACCAGGATGCATTTGTACTAATCCCAACAACACTTTAAACTGCTATTTTGCTGTTTAGAATGAGTCTATGTCTGTGATGATTATGATGATAAGGATGATTGAATTGATTCCTTTTACTGATACACTTAAAATCTCATGCAGCTCTGCAATGCCTGGTTGCTTGCTAAGTGGCTAGAAGAATGTCAGGGCATTTTGCTGTGAGTTACAGGGAACATTTATGCCCTGTGAGCCATAGCAAGTGCTCTTCTCATGCGACAGATGAAGCATGAGACAAAAAAAACCCTTAATTTAAAAAAAAATCCGTAACTTAATAATATGTAATTAATCATGGTCAAAGAGAGATCAGCATATTTGGTACTAATTTAATTCGTGTTGCTCTTCCAGTTCCAGAAGACTATTTCTTACTAGGATGTGTATTTGCAATTGCTGATTATCCTGAGCAGATGTCTGATAAACAGCTATTGGCAACATGGAAAAGGGTAATTATTCAGTTCATTGATTTTTTTATTTTATTTTTTACATTAATTTTCAGGGTTGAAAAAATCGGATTAATAACTAATTTTGAAATATTTGTTTGGTTTATAACAGATTGTTTGTAATATGAATATTCTCAATCTGTGTCAAAAATACCTACCGTATTTTCTGCAAATCATGAGAAGTCTTACCCTCTCCGCTTTCCATGTTTCCTGTTTTCTGGCTTCAAACATATTTCTATCTCTTTTTTTTACAGCCTTTAATATTTAAAGTTCTCCCCCCAAAATTTCCCATAACTTTAAAAATGCTTTTATTAATATGGTTTAGTCATTAAATGTCCCTTTATAACCCAACAGCTCTGTCCTCATGTGAGTGTGTTCTTCTTTTTATATTGTGGTATAGATACAATGTGGAAAAGAATTGGCAAAGATAATTTTTAGATATATAAGCCCTTTAAGTCTTTCTTGTTTTTATTCTAGGTCATCCAATCACATGGAGGTACAGTAGATCCAACGCTCACGAATCGATGTACACATCTTCTCTGTGAAAGTCAAGTCAGTAATATGTATGCTCAGGTAAGACAAAAAAACTTACATGCTAACCTATAGTTTTGACTTATGTTGGGTAATATGTAACAGTCAAGGCGCAAACATTTAACATAATCTGGTTTCTCTTTAAATACATTTTATTTATAGCATATATTCTGATCTCTTGCAACCAGGAGTTTCAAATGGATTAATTTCCATTGGGATGCAGGTTTGGTACTAGCATAAGAATTACCTTGTTTACCCTGTACAATGACCTCTGTCTGTTGGGAAAAGGAAGGGAGGTATCCTGATTCTCCTTGATCTCCTAGCAGCTTTCAATACTGTCAGTCATGTTTTTCTGGAGTACTGTACATTGTACAGTAGATTCTGCTCTACTTGGACAGATGGCTGTAGAAGAGGGTCATGCTTGGAGATGAGTGGACAGTAGGGATAGGTCTTCAGGATTGTTTTTATTCCACCTTCCATAATTCTGGGAACATATGGGCATCATCTACACTTCCTAATATTGCCGTTGCAAAAAGAATACTGGATCTATGGAAAATTTTGCTACTGTGAAAGTCTTCTTCCTCTCATAAAAAAACAGCTGTCACTTTGAAGTCCTACCCATCTACCAGAGTCCCCTGAAGCAGATCTCACAATTATTTATGGAAATTGTTTTCAGCATGTCTGCATAGAATTGCAAGTGCAAGAAGTCCTGAAATATCAAACAAGAATACCACAAATCTTATCCATCTCCTGAGTTTTTTGCAGTGTGGAGAAACTGCAAGTTATTTTTTAAAAATGTAGGTTAATAATTGTAGCATAACCTGTTAATTTGAACAGAAATATTTGTCACTTGAACAGCACTAGTTAAGGTGTGCTGCTCTGGTGTTCATCTTTCATATTCCCTGTAAAGCAAGTCATTCTTATTTTCCATATAGGAAACAGTAGCTGAAAGTGACTCATCTTAAGAAAGTGAATGAGCTGGTGTCTCACATCTGTATCCAGATTCTGTTGCAGTTGTACCACATGAGTAATTAATTTTGGTTTCCAGGAGCCTAGTTAAAGGCTTTATAAACCACCATTCATTTAAACTGCATAAAATACTACTAAAACCTACAGTAATAGTGTTGTGTGGCATTTGTGTGTTGCAGGCATTACGAGAAAGAAAGAGATGTATCACAGCACATTGGCTGAACTCTGTGCTGAAGAAGAAGAAAATGGTGCCACCCCATCGAGCTCTTCATTTTCCAGTAGCATTTCCACCAGGAGGGAAGCCATGTTCTCAACATGTAAGAGAACTACTGTATTTTTCTGTGCATAAGACACCCCCATGTATAGTATGCCCACACTCCCACTATTCTAACCCAAAATTAAGAAATCTAAGTGGGGCTTAGCAAGTGTAGGGGGAAAGGGATAAAAGCGCTGCAGGATTGCTTTCATCCCTGCTTTCTCCCTTCATACTAAGCCCTGCGGGGCTTAGCAAACAGAGGGGGAAGGGATCAAAGCAATCCCGCAACTACACGATAATTTTAATTCCTTTGCCCCTTATACAGCCACAGGATTGCTTTGATTCTTGCCTCCCTCCTTTTGTTAAGCGTATGCCCACACTCCCACTATTCTAACCCAAAATTAAGAAATCTAAGTGGGGCTTAGCAAGTGTAGGGGGAAAGGGATCAAAGCGCTGCAGGATTGCTTTCATCCCTGCTTTCTCCCTTCATACTAAGCCCCGCGGGGCTTAGCAAACAGAGGGGGAAAGAGATCAAAGCGATCCCGCAACTGCACGATAATTTTGATTCCTTTCCCCCTTATACTGTACAGCCATACGGTTGCTTTGATTCTTTCTCCCCTCCTGTTGTTAATTCCCATGGGACTTGGCAAGCAGAGGGGAAAGCAGGGATCAAAGCGATCCCGCAACTGCACGATCACTCTGATCCCAGTCATAGGGTTGCTTTGATTCTTTTTCCCCTCCTTTTGTTAAGCCCCATGGGACTTAGCAAGCAGAGGGGAAAGCAGGGATCAAAGCGATCCTGCAGCGCTTTGATTCATGCTTTCCTTTTGCTAAGAATTAGCAAATGGAGGGGAAAGCAGGAATCAAAGCCCTGCAGGAACATTTTGATCCCTGCTTTCCCCTCCACTTGTTTTTGTACTCTCCTCAGTTTACTTCTGTATAGAAGACAACCCTCAATTTTTAGTCTAAAATTTTTAGAGAAAAGTATAGTCTTGTACACAGAAGAATACGGTAAATCTGACATTTTTCTTTGAAGATGCTGCCCCCTTTTTTTGTAAGCAGAAAATACCAGCATAAGCAAGTATGTGATGTTCATTGTTTAGAAAATTTGTAAAAATTCGCCTGCAGTTCTCTATCAGAATTACTTCCTATGTAAAGATTGTAAAAAGTTTACCATAAAGGTTGTTTTTCATGATCGCTCCACTTACCATGTCAACTGTTAGATGAATGGTCCTTGAAAAGAAGATGACATTGTAATTGAGACTGTAGAGTGAGTGAGCGCTTGAGGAATTCACTACTGCACATTTAGCTATCTGAATGGGACTTCTGTTGGTTAGTGTGTGGCTCCTCATGTCCTGGACCGTCCTAAATCAAATGCATATATAGCATAAGTATACTAGATCAGATGAATACAATAGTGAAATAAGCCTTGCAACTTTTTGCAGGTAAAAAAGACAAATCTAAAATTGCCCAGATAAATAAGAGGGAAGACTAGCTAGAGGAGTCGCATGGCTGGAACCTCAGGAGACAGAATCAAAATTTCAGAGTATGTTTCAGTGTAGCTATAAACTTAAAATTTACCTATTGTACATAGTTCAGACAGTCATCTTAAGAAACAAGGCACTGATCTCCTAGGACATTAATTCACATGTATTTAGGGACAGGTTAGTTCACTGTCCCATTGCTCACATACTGTAAAGGACTTAGGGAATTTTGGTGTGAATTCCTTAAAATGTTTATGGAACTTCAGAAAAATACCTGCTGCCCACATTTTTATTTATACCTGTTTCATTTTTTTTTTGCCGTGTCAGATAATCTCAGTCACGGGTTTTGTTGATAGTGACAGAGATGATCTCAAGCTGATGGCCTACCTAGCCGGTGCAAAGTATACAGGCTACCTCTGTCGCAGCAACTCGGTTCTCATCTGTAAAGAGTAAGTGGCTTAACTATAATAGCATTCTGTAATAGTAACATGTGTAGCCTTAATCTCTTCTCATTATACAAGCTATTCTTGCAGATCTTTTTCAAAAGTAAACCTGTTATTTTTCCATAATATGATCGGGGCAAATTTTACTGGAGATGTTTATTTATTTTTTGTATTTATACCCCGCCTATCTAGTCATTTCGACCACTCTAGGCGGCTGCTCTCCCTCTTTAGTTACATCAGTCTTTTCCAGACATTTTGGATTATGACTCCATGGTTATCTGACCATTAGCTGTGCTGACAGGAGCCAACAAGGGCTAAAATCCTCTTAACATCATGTGTACTGGATTGGGGAAGCTAGAGTTGCATTGTTAAACCATGTTATAAGTTTACGTGTTGTTTTCTGTTTGCTGATGAAAAGGTGTCTGTGACTAAAGGCACTGTACATTGTAGTTTTGTTTCGTGACTTGAAGTTGTATGTATTTGTAGACCTTTTAAGCAATTCCCAAGTCTTAAAATAACATTTTATTAGTTAGTTTTAGTTTTAAGCTGGCTTAAATCAAATTCTCTGGGCAGTATAAAAATAAGTGCAAACTATGTAATCTGTAAACTCATCCAAGTTTATAAATCTTTGTTGTGCCTGGAAGTAACCATATTATAAATAATTCTCCAATAATTGGTAGAAGTATATAAAGTATAACCATCAAAGTTTATTGCATTTTAGCAGGTCTAATGTCACTTATGTTTGTGCGTTTTTTTCTTACCAAGGCCTACTGGCTTAAAATATGAGAAAGCCAAAGAGTGGAGAATAGCATGTGTGAATGCACAGTGGCTTTGTGATATATTACTTGGGAGATTTGAAGCACTGCGGCAAATGCAACACAATCGATATACAGTATTCAATCTTCCAGAACCTCTTGCTCCCAGTCAGCATCTAGTTCTAAACCTTCTTGGTAAGACAATATCTCCAGACTTGGAATAGACTTAAAACAATAAATACTAGATGTTGTGTTGTATTGAGCTTGGCATATGCTAAGATATGCTGGATGTACTTACTAGTGATTGGATTGTATGAGTTTTGCGTTTAGTTTTCAGTTTGAAACAGCTTTACCCAAAAATATGCCCTGTGTAGTGCAATGGAGCTTGTTCTGATTAAAATTATTGATGTTAAAATAATGATAAAATGGTTTTCAAAGTGAACTTTTGAATTTAACATCAGATATTTAAAAATAAGTTTGACATTTGATATATTAAGTTTTTCTTTGATACATGAATTATTATTAAAAACATGGTAGTTGTGAAGTTTATGTCTAAAGTGAATCAGCTTGTTGTCATATGTATCAAGTTATTTCTGACTTAATGGCAGTGGCTCTGAAAAATATATTGTTAAAGCAGGCTTTTCTTTGTAAATATAGGACTTCAGTTATTTCTTAGATATGTGTGTTTTACTCCTTTTACCAAACAAAGAGATCTGGAAGTTGCATCATGGCAACTGGATTTCTAAGAAATTAGCTCTGTCTACTCACAGATTTAAAGTAAATTTCCCATTGATATTTTTTCCATTCATTTCTTAAACAGTGGTGCAAATCCCAACCACTAAGTCATGTTCATTTACAATTAAACATTATTTACACTCTTTCTGTGTTGCCACCATATGGTGCATCTCTTTGTTTGTATCTGTTTCTTAAAAGTCCAGTTGCCATGACTCAACTTCCAGAAAACCACCTGGATGACTGAGAATCTTCACCATTGTTTAAGAAACGTATGGAAAAATATCAATGGGAAACTTAATTTAAATCCATGAATAGATTGAGCTAATTGTTTATTTAAATTCACTGGCTGAAATCCTATTCCATGGCCATGCAAACATAATGTTTGGAAGTGAATTTCTGTCAGTTAGGAAATCTCCATAGGCATTACATGTTGCATGCTGGGTCACATGACTCAGTAAATCAAAGTTGTCTGCAGATACTTATTAATTTACGGCAGTTCATCTCTAGAAGTTACTCTGCTCACATAATAGCACAGTAGAATTTCAGCCACTCTATTTCCACCCTACTAGATACACTGATGGTTGGACTGCTAAGGGCTTATTGCAGAACTGGAAGTGGCAGGAAGTAGTACCACAGGTGAAAGGTTGCATACAGTATGTTTGCTTTCCTCCTGTGGCACCATATCCATATTCTATGGAGGTTGCCAGATTCTGTGCGTGTGAATTAGCTTGAAAAGCCTGGTTGTACTGAATCAGTGCTTTGGAACGTTAAAGAATACACCCTGACTAAAAAACTTATATACATTTGCTGTTTCTGTTTGTTACTTCTAGATGCATGGAGAGTGCCATTAAAGGTGTCACCAGAACTTCTAATGGTATGTTGGTTCCCTTAGTTTAATAATATTCATGTGCCGTCAAGTCAATTCTGACTTACAGTAACTTTTTCAAAGTTT